CTTCCCTGGTGGCGCAGCGGTTGAGAATCTGCCTGCCAATGCAGGGGACATGGGTTCGAGCCCTGGTCTGGGAAGATCCCACATGCCGCGGAGCAACTAGGCCTGTGAGCCACAGTTACTGTGCCTGCACGTCTGGAGCCTGTGCTCCACAACAAGAGAGGCCACGATAGTAAGAGACCCGTGCACTGCGATGAAGAGTGGCCCCCACTTGCTGCAACTAGAGAAAGCCCTCACATAGAAACGACGACCCAACACAGCCATAAATAAATAAATAAATAAAATTTTTTTAAAAAAAGGTTAAGTCAGATAACAAATTCAAGATCCTGTATGAAGATGGGGAAGGAATTCCTAATATTCCATTATGATTGTTTCAGAGTTTCCAGGCCTGGACTGCGTCAAATTTCCCAACCATTTTATTTGCCTTAAACATGTTCTTTGGAACTTCCCTGGTGGTTCAGTGGTTAAGAATCCGCCTTCCAATGCAGGGGATGCGGGTTCAATCCCTGGTCAGGGAACTAAGATCCCACCGGCCTTGGGGCAACTAAGCCTGCAGACCACAACTGCTGAGTCCACTCACGGCAATGAAGATCTTGCATACCACAACTAAAGACCAAATGCAGCCAAAAAAATAAATAAATAATATATTTTAAAATGTTCTTTGTTTCTTGTTTTTGCTTTTTTAATTAATTAATTTATTTTTTGGCCACACCACATGGCATGCAGGATGCAGGATCTTAGTTCCCCAACCAGGGATCAAACCCATGCCCCCTGCAGTGGAAGTACAGAGTCCTAACCACTGGACCTCCAGAGAATTCCCTTAAACATGTTCTTTGAATGCTTACCAAGTCCTCTACACACTTCCTAAAGTTTGGAGTGTCTCATCCTGCTTCCTGTGACAAGATATGTAAAAACCGTCTCTGTAAACACAGAAAAAATGTGTTTGTCTAATACATCCCACAATTTGTCCTTTCCGTGTTGAGTCAAGTGTATGTAAACCATATACAGTGAGTCAAGAGACAGACTTAGGAGCAACCAAACAACCATCTTGGTGTTTCCAAAGTCCATCTAAGTGGATCAAACATCCAGCTATCTCCCATCCAATTCTTTCTGAGTCTGAAGTTGCTATTTGAGCCATGTAGATCTCTTTTATGATTTCCTTAGGAGTCATCCTAAAGAAGTACTCTTCCTCATGTGGTATATATATACAATGGAATACTACTCAGCCATAAAAAAGGATGAAATAATGCCATTTGCAGCAACATGGATGCAACTAGAGATTATCATACTAAGTGAAGTAAGTCAGAAAGAGACAAATACCATATGATATCACTTATATGTGGAATCTAAAATATGACACAAATGAACCTATCTATGAAACAGAAATAGACTCACGGACATAGAGAACAAACTTGTGGTTGCCAGGGGGGACAGGGTTGGGGGAGGGATGGAGTGGGAAGTTGGGGTTAGCAGATGTAAGCTATTATATATGGAATTGATAAACAAAAATGTCCTATTGTATAGCACAAAGCACTATATCAGTATCCTATGATAAACCATAATGGAAAAAAGTATTTTAAAAAAGAATGTATAGGGCTTCCCTGGTGGCGCAGTGGTTGAGAGTCCGCCTGCCGATGCAGGGGACATGGGTTCGTGCCCTGGTCCGGGAAGATCCCACATGCCGCGGAGCGGCTGGGCCCGTGAGCCATGGCTGCTAAGCCTGTGCATCCGGAGCCTATGCTCCGCAACGGGAGAGGCCACAACAGTGAGAGGCCCACATAACGCAAAAAAAAAAAAAAAAAAGGAAAAAAAAAAAAATAACAAAAATAAAAAAAAAAAAAAAAAAAGAATGTATATATATGTATAACTGAATCACTTTGCTGTATAGCAGAGATTAACGCAACATTGTTAGTCAACTATACTTCAATTAAAAAAATAAATGTGAAAGAAGTTTTCTTCCTCAGGAGAGGGCGAAAATCCCACCAAAGGTCTAGAGCCTCAAAATGAAACCTAGGGGCATATTCCAGAAGCTTGGAAACTACTTAAATTTTGGGGGTGGTTGAGAAAGAGGCTGGTAATTTAGCATATATATCAGGCATCTGTGGGGAGTTCTCCTAAACTGACTTAGCAGGATTCTTGCTAAAACTAGATTTTGCAAGAAAGAATCCTTGGTGAAGAGAGGGTTCAGGGGAGATGGAGTAAAGTTTGGTCAAGCAAAGAATCTTTGTCAATATATACATATACATACACACACGTAGATACATACATACACATACACTCTATCTTACTGTATGGTCAGACCACTCAAGATGGCTATTCTCTTGCTCTCTGTACATCCTCTGCCCTACCAGTGTCTGCTTCATCTATACCTTACTCACATGACTGACATTCCTGTGCACTTGCCCCAGGCCCCAGCTAGAGATTATTGTTGTTGTTTTTTTAATTGGGGTATAGTTGTTTTACATAGAGATTGTTCTTACCAAAGGGACAGTGAGGGGCATGCCCCTCTGCTGGTTTCCCTGGTAACTAATGAACCAACCTAATGTCAATTCCCCCCATACCTGGCAATCTTCCCTTCCCCTGGGTGTGAAGACCGCCACCATGTGCTGCCCACAGGCTGCAGCACACAGTGGGATGTCACTCCAGGACCTTGCTTCAGACGTGTAGGATCCCCCATCCATTAAACCATTGATGTCTCTGTTGCTGACTCCAGGCTCTTTCTTTGGTCTTGAAGCTGAGCAAGTGCAGGCCTTGTAGGCCTTCAGAGTATAGCCCAACACTTACTCCAAAAGTAGCATACTGTAATATAGTTCTGGACCCATCTTTTTTTTTTTTTTTTTTTTTTTTTTTTTACTGAATTTATCTTGCTGAACACTCTACATCAGTATGTAGAGATATTCCTTTTTTTAAAAAAATACATTTATTTATTTATTTTTGGCTGCACTGGGTCTTCGTTGCTGCACGCGGGCTTTCTCTAGTTACGGCAAGCGGGGGCTACGCTTCGTTGCGGTGCACGGGCTTCTCATCGCGGTGGCTTCTCTTGTTGCGGAGCACGGGCTCTAGTTGTGCGGGCTTCAGTAGTTGTGGCACCCGGTCTTCAGTAGTTGTGGCTTGTGGGCTCTAGAGCACAGGCTCAGTAGTTGTGGCACACGGGCTTAGTTACTTCCACAGCATGTGGGATCTTCCCAGACCAGGGCTCGAACCCGTGTCCCCTGCATTGGCAGGCAGATTCTTAACCACTGTGCCACCAGCGAAGCCCTAGAGATATTCTTTATTCCTTTGTCACCTGCAGAAGACTCCATTGTATGAAGGTGGCATAATCTCTTTGATTTAGGTATGTCTCCTATGTATACCATAGAATTGAGTTAGCTTGTTTTTTAATGTCATAAAACAATTTATAACATTAGAATGTGATTACCAATTCTACACTATCTATGTATGAACTATCTATGAATGGCTGCCATAGAAAATGTTTCCTTCCACTTAAATTAGGCCATTGTTTGGATAAGCAGGACAAAATGCTGGGAAAGCAGTAGTCTTATGTGCTTTGCACATCATCTTGGACACTGTGGCTTCACAAAAGATGTCTCATGACATGGCCAACAATTTTCAGAGAGGCCCGTTTCCTAAGTCCGGTGAGAATAAACTTAAGATGAGATAAATATACATCGACTGGGCGCTGTCTCTGACATTTTATTTCTCTTTTATAGCTTAACTGAAAAGAGTATGATGCTGAAACAGACTGAGCCAATTAAAAAAATTCTCCTCAGCATGTGAATTGTGACTTCACTGAGGGTTTTTGGCAATGACCATCTGTCTGAAAGTTTCAAAGTCACCCATTAATCACACTGACCACCACAGGTTAGGGAGACAATCTTTGTAGATGTTTCCACTGTTCAGAAACACACAGAGCCACTGAGTTCATTCCTGTTCTGTGTCGTGATATGCTGGTTGTATGACCAGCAAATAGGAGTCAAGCATCAGGCAGTGATGAGCCAAGCTCTCTGGACCAGGCACAGCTGTGCTTTTCTGAATACACATCCTACCTAGACATTAAACTGTGACATGATCAGTTCAGAGCTTAGATACAGGGTACAAGGATACGTTTTCTCTCATAGACCAGAAACCCAACATCAGGAGATTACAAATTGTGGCCTGGCATCATCTTTGACTAGAAAGTCACTCCTTTTGTGCTTCCAGACTCAGGAAGTCTATTGACCCTCCTTTATGACTTATCTTCTCAATCACTCTTGAACTGAAATCCTCTTGAATAATGAATTTATCAGACAAAAAAGATAATGATACATACTGTCAACTGATGAGCTAGTAACATAATTGTCCCTGCTTTCTACTCCAAGGACAAGGCAAAGTTTTCTCACGCTTGATTCCCTTTGGGATAGCCCTATCATGTTAGCCACTACAAACCAAATAATCACGACATGCCAGGGACTGTATCAGGCAAGTCAATTCATGTGCTTGCTTTCTTTTTATTCCATCTTTACAACAACACTGTGAGGTATATTCCCAAAGTTTTTTGTTTGTTTCAAGACAGACTTACCCGGGTTACCTCACACAATGAGACTTTAATATAATTATAATGATTCTTTTTTTTTTTTTTGGCTGTGCCACATGGCTTGTGGGATTATACCCCCACCAGAGATGGAACCCAGGCCCTTGGCAATGAGAGCGTGGAGTCCTAACCACCAGACCGCCAAGGAATTCCCTATAATGATATCTCGAATGATGAAGTTATTATTATTTTTTAAGGATTTTAGCATGGTGTTGTGGATGTGAGTTACAATTTGGTTTGGCAAAATATAATAAAATATAATAACAACAAACTCAAAGTAGTAGTGACCCAAACACATAAAGGCTTATATTTCTAATGAACAATAAGTTTGGAGGTGGGAGATTGTAATACAGCCTCAAGAATTTCCAGGCTGAGGTCTCGAGGAGTCTAGGCTTTTTGTAACATCTCTCCTGCACTTTTCCTTCCCTTGTAGTTCCTAAAGAGCTGCTGAATCTTCAGTCATCTGGTCGACCTTCCAAAGCATCCCTCCAAAGCAGAGCCAGCTTTTCTTCAAGCCCCAGCCCATGTTTTCTACGTAAATCCTAGTGGTCATTCTCAGCATCCGTGGAAGCTGGGAAATGTAGCGTTTTATCTGGATACAACAACAATATTTATTTCCTAAATAAAATTGTGGTTCTGAAGGTAAGAAAGAAGAAAGGAATGGATTTTCAGGAGGCAGTTATGGTCCCTGCCACAAAGTGGATAGGTAATAATAGCACTTCATCAACAGATTGTATAAGTGAAAAGCACCTTGGGCAATTCATAGCAAGTAATGATAATGTAAACGTTTATTGAGACCTTACTCTTTATGTGCTTTACTATACTGTCTTATAGAAATCTCACAACACTCTGATGTAGATAATATCATGATCCCCATTCTCCAGATAAGCCTGTGGCACACAGGCTTCGTTGCTTCCACAGCATGTGGGGTCCTCCTGGACCAGAGCTTGAACCTGTGTCCCCTGCACTGGCAGGTGGATTCTTAACCACTGCACCAAGAGGGAAGTCCCAAAAAATAAAATTTACTTAATTATGTATATGTAATTAAAAGTCAGAATAATCGTTGCAGGAAGGGGGGCCAATTCCAGGGCCTGAGATCGGGCTCTTGTCTAACACTTGGAAATAAGTTGTACAAGGGGACACACTTGGTGACAAAGCAAGAGACTTTATTGGGAAGGGGCACCTGGGCGGAGAGCAGGAGGGTAAGGGAGCCCAGGAAAACCGCTCTGCCATGTGGCCTGCAGTCTCACGTTGTACGGTAATGGGCTTAGTTTCCAGGTTGTCTCTGGCCAGTCATTCTGACTCAGGGTCCATCCTGATGGCACATGCATTGCTCAGCCGAGATGGATTCCAGCAAGAAGGATTCTAGGAGGTTGGTAGGACATATGGACTGGCATTTCCTCTGTCCTTTTGACCTTTCCCGAATTCTTCTGGTGGGTGGCAGCTTGTTAGTTCCTCGTTCCTTACCAAGACCTCCTGTTGTAAGATAATTCATGCAAGTGGTTACTATCATGCCTGGCCACTGGCAGGCAGTTTCAGTCAGTGGTTCCCTTAATATAATCACAGCAATATTTTTTAGAACTTAAAGATTTTAAAGAACTTAAAGATTTTTTTCCAGTTGTTTAGAATTGCTGGCACACAGTGATCACAAAAAGCAGAAGGTTTTGGTTTTATTACTGGTTTAAAATTCACTAAAGACAGAGCTCTCTATTATTATCTGCACGGGGCAGATCTCTTCCATTGCTCTTCCTTTTCAGCCACCAGTGTTCCATAGTTAAGCTAGTTGAAGCCAGTTTTGTTGATTTAATCATACTTTATAATGCAGTCAGGTTTTAGAAGGGAAGCACTGGGAATTCATATTTTTTAAATGACCAAACCTAAAATTCCTTATGCAATAAAAATGATTGCCCAGTGACTTACATTTCTGTGTACGCAATTGTCCTAAACTGAAGAAACTCAAGAGGAAAAGAATCGGAAAGGGACATGAGGGTTGCAAGTGCAAACTCCCAGAAGATCCAGATGAATGTGGTCCATGAGTGAGTGAGTGAGGCAGGGGAGAAAAGTGTCGACATGGAAAGAAATGCCCTGCCGGAAGTGGCCAGGTGGCATGAGGCGCGGCCCCTACTCAGCCTCATCCAAGTGTATCCTCGTGGGATGCAGGCCCGTGGTTACCCTGATCTGGTAATTTTTTTCATGAGGAGCCAACATTCTGATGTCTGTGTAAGATCCCTTGATTTTTAAATGATGGAAATTAATTCAAACTCTAGAAAACACTGTGCACTGCAAACAAAACACATCTGCAGCTGCAGTACGCTCGCAGGCTACCAATTTCCTAATGAAAAACGCAAGCAGTGATTGAACCAGTTACAGAAGCCAAGAAAATATGCTTTATTCTTCGATCCTTTTCCTTTCCCCAAATGTGACATTTTAGAAAAATCCAGATACACTTACATCATATCCATAATCTGCAGCTTAACAAGAAAAGCAGCATAATTAAAGAGTCTGAACGTCCAGAGCCCTCCTTTCTCTCGAGTCAGAGCCAAGGATGGTGTCACCCAGATGCCTGTTAACTAAGAGACATATACCAGATTTATTTAACCACTGGCAAACCGCATTTTTTTTTCCCTAGGGCAATAAGTTAAAAGATTATTTACCTCCCTTGGTTACAAAAAGAGGAAATACTTCTTCCAAGACTCGGGGTAGCTGCGGCCAGTTCTCCCGGAGAAATTATTTTACCACAAAGATTCAGAGCACAGAGCCCGGAAGCCTTTGCCCACCAGCCTCCCTGCTGCTGCACTGCATGGGCACCTTCTGAGAAGTGAGTGTTTTATTAGCCTCCAAAAGTTTCAGGCCCTGAGCATCTGATAGTTAAGAACATCATTCTAAATCCCTGTATGTAGTTTTCATTTGATTTGGCATTTGGCATATTAAAAGAGAAGGTTTTTTTCCAATGAAAGACAATAGAAGCTGTTTTCCACAGGGAATTAAAGCTTTGTGTATCTTAATTAAAAAGCTATTTGCTAAATCCTTTAACAGAATTTCTAAGTATCCTCAAGGTTGGGTTCCTGCAGGGGCCAAACAGAATTTAAAGCAAGAATTTGATGAAGCCTTTGTCCTCTGTGCCCATTAAGAATTCTCTGGTTTAAGTTGCATGGAAGCTGCCCTGTATGGCCAGGTGGGCATGGCTTCTCTATGTGACCTCCCAGAAACACAGAGTCTGCAACTGTGAGTCCCGAGGAAAAGCTTTGCATGGTCCCAAGCCTTACTGTTAACCCAGTAAAGACCCCAAAGTCTAATCTCTGACTCTGTCTACCACAAAGAAACAGGCCTAAGAAGGGCATTTACATGTGAAGGCAGTCATCTCCCTGTATAAGAGGAAAAAAACTCAAAAGAAGTGAAGTCTTTCCCTTTTTCACAAATTAGTTTCTTTTAAAAGAAAATGTCCATCTGTATCATATTATCTCTTTTCTAGTGGTTATGTTCTGGGTCAATTTTTTTTCTTTTTTTCTTTTTTTTTTGCAAACAACAACAAAAAGGCTAGAAATGACCATTAACAAAAACCAATGTGACCTGATTATATTCTCCCAAATGTCTATTTCTGAAATTTCTATCATCAGAGTATTCAGGTGTTTGGGGCAAGTGTGCTATTTTAACATCAAACAAGAAAAGAAAAGAATAAAGATATTCTTGATCATATCGTAAGATGGGAGGCCAAGTTGCTGACCCCAATTTTTTCTGGAGGGGTTGGGGTAGGGAGAGGGGATGATCATCTTAAAATTACCCAGTCCATTCTAACTACTAGAGCTTCACTTGATTAATAGAAAGCCTGTCTTTTAAAATGGAACCTCGGGACTTCCCTGGTGGTGCAGTGGTTAAGAACCCGCCTGCCAATGCAGGGGACATGGGTTTGATCCCTGGTCCGGGAAGATCCCACATGCTGTGGAGCAACTAAGCCCGTGTGCCACAACTACTGAGCCTGCGCTCTAGAGCCCGCGAGCCACAACTACTGAAGCCTGCGCGCCTGGAGCCTGTGCTCTGCAACAAGAGAAACCACTGCCATGAGAATCCCATGCACTGCAGCAAAGAGTAGCCCCTGCTTGCCACAACTAGAGAAAGCCTACATGCAGCAACGAAGACCCAACGCAGCCAAAAATTAAATCAATAATAAAATAAAATGGAATTTCTTCAAAAGAACAATTTTCTAACAGTGAAATTTCTAGCATCAGTGGAGAAAAGCTATTTTTAGAGAAAGATCCCAATCCCCAAAACAATATGATAGAGGCACTGTGTATCTTCCCCTCTGAGCCCAGCTGGCCCTATAGACCTGCTTATACACATGTGCCCCTCTGGAAAGACCCCTTGAAACCCTGACCACACGAGGCTTCAGAGAACTTGCAGTGATTTAGAACGTGCGGGAACCGTCCTGAAAGCCTTTCATTTGGCAGAAGTCATTCCTGCCCCTTCCTCCTAGTCTCTCAATTCTGGAAACATCTCCTCTCATAGAAAGCTGCACAGTCTAATAGTTACGTGTCTTAAGAGCATGGTATTTGGAGTCAGAATGCTCAGGACTGAACTCCAACTCTGCAATTTACAGGAGAGGTTCCCTTAACAGACCTCCAATGAACGGACTCACCAGCTTAACCAATGCAAGTAAGTTATGTCTAGCACACCTGAGCACTTCAGCTTTAACTACTTTTGAATAAAGGATCAACTATAAGGCAAACCTTAGGATGTCAGAGGGAGCTCCTCAGACACATAGCAGACTATAGACTATAGGGCTGACTAGGAGAGAGATTTTATTTAATGTCCTTGATTTGGGGGGACCAATTTCAAAGCTAAGTAAACTTCTGTTACAACTCGGTTGTTTTAGGTGGTAGGTAAAACGTAAAAATAAAAAGGCTGACATATTTTCCTGGGTTTCAGGGTGGGCTGTGTTTAAACTATGCTTGGCACACAGTAAATGCTTGTGAAATGTCATTTCTTCTGTCTTCTTTCTCTGTCCTTTGCTGCTCAATGCTTCTCACTCCACTACCAGAAAATAAACCCCAAACCATCTAAAGTAACCAAAACTTCCTGAAATTCTCCTCAAAAATGTCTTTTATGGATGAAATTGTGCTTTTGTGTGATTACAGAAGACAGCATATAACTCAGTAAATACTAATATAGCTGATGCCAAGGGGTGGGAACTGGTGACTGGATATCACCTCCAGCAGATGGTTTACTATGACCTCCTTCACCAACTCAGATAACACTGACAAAAGATACGCCCTGTTTATTAATAGTGATTATTTCTGTGGAATCAAGGGACTAGGGGCAAACGTGGACGAGTGTACATCCTTATGGTGCCAAGGGATATTTGTAATTTGAAGAAGCGTACCCACTCCCTCCCCCAGGGTTATTCCGCTCTGCTCCCACCCCACCCTCAGTGGAGATCGCTGCTTTTGATTTTCTAGACTTTGTCTTTTAGAGGAGGAAAAATAATTTTCCTTCTACTTTTCATTGTTCCTGGCTAAGTACCCCACTCCCACCCCGTAAAAAAGACAGAATAATAGAGGAAAAAACATTTTTTTTAATTAATTTATTTATTTCTGGCTGTGTTGGGTCTTCGTTGCTGCGCGGGGGCTTTCTCTAGTTGTGGCAAGCAAGGGCTACTCTTTGTTTTGTTGCACGGGCTTCTCATTGCGGTGGCTTCTCTTGTTGTGGAGCACGTGCTCTAGGCATGCGGGCTTCAGTAGCTGTGGCACGCAGCCCAGTAGTTGTGGCTTGCGGGCTCTAGAGCGCAGGCTCAGTAGTTATGGTGCGCGGGCTTAGTTGCTCTGCGGCATGTGGGATCTTCCCGAACCAGGGCTCGAACCCGTGTCCCCTGCATTGGCAGGCGGATTCTTAACCACTGCACCACCAGGGAAGCCCTAGAGGAAAAATTTTTTAAATTATATACATACAGAAGCCCCGCTTAAAAGGTGGCCAGAAGATTGAGGATTATATTCCATCCTGAGCTAAGGAAAGGGATGGGGTCTGGGGCTTAAAGGTCCAGGAAGGCAATTCACCAGAAGGTGAAAAGAGGAAATGTTCGGTAAACAAAGGCGGCTGGGTCAAGCAGATAAGTCTCTCAGATGAAGAAGTATAATAGCTGTCTTCCTGATACAGACCCCTTTTCTCATGTAAATTTTCTTTACAAATGTAAAATTTCCCTTACAAATGGGTAACTTCTATTCTGTTTTCAGAGCTTCTTCTATGCCTGCAGTTCATTAAAATAAACAGCTCAAAATAATTCTTATTCTCCGAAGAGGCATATTTCGCAGTGGCACATTCTGCTAAGCCCTCAGCATTCACAGCAGACAAATGCAAATTGTGTGTTCTTCTGGCTGCTCAGCTAACAGTGTTCAATTAGCTTGCCTAACAACGTTTTATGACCCAATAATGTTCAGTTTCTCAAGTTGGCGTTAGGCGTTATGAAAATCACATTAGCTTTGCAGACGGACAAGTCAGCCGCATCAAGGCTGGCTTCCTGTCAGCCTCCACACATCTCACCCCGTGAGTTTCTGAATTCTGAGTCCTGCTTCAGGTACACAGACATGCCTTCATCTGCCAGGGCCACAGATAAGATGAGAGATAAGAATCAGACCTTTAATTTCCTCAAAGCCTGGAAAATTCTCAACCCACCTAAGTAAAGAAATAAAAATTAAAATACATATTTAACTGGGATGAATTGGGTGATTGGGATTAACATATATACACTAATATGTATAAAATAGATAACTAATAAGAACCTGCTGTCTAAAAAATTTAAATTAAAAAAAAAAAACATACCTAACTAAGGTGTGATTCTGATTCTTCCCTATCAGAAAAACACTGAAACCCAGGAAATAAAATCTCTCTCCTAATGAGCCCTGGTGCATTTGAAGAGCTCTCCTTTGACATTCTAAGGTTCTTTTCATCCCATTGTTGGAATTAAATTTTTTAAAATAAATTTATTTTATTTATTTATTTTTGGCTGCATTGGGTCTTCGTTGCTGCGCACGGGCTTTCTCTAGTTGCGGCAAGTGGGGGCTACCCTTCTTTGCGGTGCGCGGGCTTCTCATTGCGGTGGTTTCTCTTGTTGTGGAGCACGGGCTCTAGGCACGCGGGCTTCAGTAGTTGTGGCACGTGGGCTCAGTAGTTGTGGCTCGTGGGCTCTAGAGCGCAGGCTCAGTAGTTGTGGTGCACGGTCTTAGTTGCTCCACGGCATGTGGGATCTTCCCAGACCAGGGCTCGAACCTGTGTCCTCTGCATTGGCAGGCGGATTCTTAACCACTCTGCCACCAGGGAAGTCTGGAATGAAATTTAAATTGACTTTTCATAAGCAAAAGTCCACCCAAACAAAGGAGGGATTGGTGCCTCCCCCATCACTGGTTTTCAGCCTGCGGCACTGCAGCCAACAGTAATGATTTCTATTCAAAAAACAAACCTCAGTTACACACGTGTACACGCTGAGTAAAAGAATTTGTGCAGTGTGTTCATTGCTTACTTTTCTCCTGGAATACATGATGAATTTTTATGGAGGGTAGGATAGGAAGGGAAGAACCACATTCAAGTGAAACCCAACATCATTCTCCTCTACAGTGTCATTTCAAAAGCCAGATAAAAGCCAAACGAGGAGGCTGGGAGAAGAGTGTCCAACGTAGCTGTTCTGAAAACCACCCTCCATTTCATTCTGGAGCAGGGAGGTTACACCACACATCACAAAAGCTTCTCTCCTCGCAGAAAATTAACTGGTAAGTGCTTTCTTGTTTTCTTTGAACTGCCGCGTTTGGAACTGACCTGATGAGGATGCCTGCAGATGATTTATTTATAAAGCAGTATTTGGACTAACTACCAGCTGGCAAAAAAGGAAAAGGACTCCTGATAGTTTATGAAAAGCTCTCTGTGCAGATTCATATTTTTGGTCCTGTCAAAAGTGTTTAGGAAGAGTGTAACAGGGTTTACAACAGCTGTGATTAAATCTAACACCCTGAGAGAACAGGAGGAGGTTGGTAGGGTAGGGGTTGGGAGGGCACAATGAACTTTCAGTCATTTCCTCAGCTTTTACCTAGCAGATTACAACTCATAAATGTAGCCTTGACTCAGAAATGTCAAACATCATTAGTGGAAAGCCCACTGTAGTGAAATCGAGTAGGAGGAAATGGTACTCAAGATGAAAATTGACTTTGCCTTCCTTCCATTACAAGGCAGGAAAAAAGTTCTAAATTGAGTTGTAATGTGGCTTGGTTTTCTCCTGTCTTTTTAAAATGAATAGCTTGTGGCTCTTCAAAACAAACATTTCTTTGTTGTTGCTGCCTTTTTTGAAATCTCCTAATCAATTGCCTGTTAGAATAATTGGTATCTGGGCTCATCTAATGAAGGACAAATGGCTAATTGAAGGCAAGTACTTGGAAGAAAAGGTTCAGCTAACTTGACTCTTCTTTTGGTAGTCAGATAACTGGGAGTACCAATTGTTTTTTGTCTGATCGTTTATCCTTCCCTCCAAATGAAAGCTAGTGAAAACCAAATGAAAATTTGATAACGGAACTTTCACCAGCAATTATTCTCTTAAATTGGCCCTTCTCACTTAAAAGAAAACTCGTTCACCCAAGCTTCCACAAACTTGTTGCTAAATTAATCCACTAGTATGTTTTGTTTTGTTTCGTGAAAAATTCAAGGGACTGCTCTTGAATCTCAAATTACCTAGTTCAAATAATTCCTCTTTCTAAATAATTCTCATCATGTTTGCACTTCTTCCAAACACTAAATGATTTTTAAGTTTTTTCACGGCCTTTATTTATGATTTTACCCAAGACTTAAGTCCTTTAATTTATAAAAGAATGTCATACATTTTCTGTGTTACTTTACCACTGTCATCTCCCCGAGAGATAGCTATTTAACCCAACGTTCCCCTTTCAAAGGCTACAGCAGTTGAAGCTAACTCATGGAAGTAATTTTAAAAGAAGAAAAAGTTTTATGCTAAAAGACTTTTTTCCAAATTGCTTATAATTTTAAAAAGTCAGAAGCTATCTAAATACCCAACAAATATGCAACAAATAGCTTTCTAGTGCAACCCAAATCTATGGTTGCACTAGAAAGCTAGTTAAGAAACATCTTGTATATTATCTCAATGGAAATATTTAGTAGTCATTAAGTTATAACTTGGAGGGATATATAGCATCATGGAGGAGTACTCATAATACTAACAATAATTATAATTATGTAAAAAAGTAAATGGAGTTGAAAAAATTGAAGAAAAATATGCAAAATTGAAAATGGTTGTGTTAAGCTGATAGTGAACTGACGGTATATCAGGGAGGAAAAACTTTTACTCTGTCCTCTTAAGTTCTGGTTCTGAAGGCCTGTGAATTAAACTAACGAATGACAGATTAGCAAGAGATAACACAACAAAATTTAATCATGTATTTTTATTAACATACATAGGGGAGTTCACAGAAAATTGTGACTCAAAGGGAAGGCTAGAATTTGGAGCTTATATACCATCTTAAGGGGAAGGGGAGAGAGAGAAAGATACAGGAAAACAAGTGACTTCTTAATAAGGGAAGAGGAGAGGGAGAAAGGGGACTTATGGGAAAACAAATGACTTCTTAGAAATATAAATGGGCTTTAGGAGAATAGATAGACGATACAATAGTTTTTGTGAGACTTCTCATCTACGGCGATGAGTCAACCTTTCCTTGTTGCTCCTGGGGAGGGGATTTATGACAATTGAGTTCTTTTGGGACCTCAAATGCCTTCTGCTCAAAATAATTTTTATGCCACAGTAGCATATGCTGGACCCCTTCAGATGATATAGCTCTTCTTTTTTCCCCAAATTTTCTCTAATAGTCCATTACTTGTATAATTTTAAAACTTCAAAATTTTGAAAAGTCCCATCTACTTTTTTGTTCAGGTCTCAATTTTCATATAAACCACAAAAAGTTAAACCCTTAATCTGGTGGGGGGTCTTCAGTTCTAATTCACCTGATTTCTTTGGTGGCATTAACTTTAGTAAAGGTTCCTGCCTCATAAAACTTCTTTTTTAAAAAGAAGATTTATTGAAGTATAGCTGTCTTACAATGTTGTGTTTAATTTCTTTTCTTTTTTAAGTTCATTTATTTATTTATTTTTGGCTGCGTTGCTGCACGCGGGCTTTCTCTAGTTGTGGCGAGCAGGGGCTACTCTTTGTTGTGGTGCGTGGGCTTCTTATTGCAGTGGCTTCTCTTGTTGTGGAGCACGTGCTCTAGGTGTGCAGGCTTCAGTAGTTGCGGCATGCGGGCTCAGTAGTTGTGCCTTGAGGGCTCTAGAGCACAGGCTCAGTAGTCGGTGGTTCACAGGCTTAGCTGCTCCGTGGCATATGGGATCTTCCCAGACCAGGGATCGAACCCATGTCCCCTGCATTGGCAGGCGGATTCTCAACCACTGTACCACCAGGGAAGTCCCCTTGTGTTTAATTTCTACTGTACAGCAAAGTGACTCAGTTATACATGTATATATTCTTTTTCATATTCTTTTCCATTACGGTTTATCACAAGCTATTGAATATAGTTCCCTGTGCTCTACAGTAGGACCTTGTTGTTTATCCATCCTACATGTAACAGTCTGCATCTGCTAATCCCAAACTCCCAATCCATCCCTCCCCCACCC